AAAGAACGCTCGAAACCTGAGAGCCCAAAGACCCTTGGACAATCCTGAATCCAATTGACATCTCTTTCAACCGTTATTGTCGATCATCGTTAATTGTCAGGATATCGAATATCTCTTCAAGGGTTCCGATAATAGCGATGGCCTCCAACCCAATAGTGATGGCCTCCGACCCAATAGCGAGGCCTCCAACCTATATAATAGCGATGGCCTCCAACCTGATAGCGATGGCCTCCAACCCAATAGCAAGGCCTCCAACCTGATAGCGATGGCCTCCAACCGAGAAGCGATGGCCTCCAACCTAATAGCAATGACCTCCAACCTAATAGCGATGGCCTCCAACCTAATACACCGGTAGCGATGGCCTCCAACCCAATAGGAGGCCTCCAACCTAATAGCGATGGCCTCCAACCTAATAGCGATGGCCTCCAACCCAATAGCGATGGCCTCCAACCCAATAGCGAGGCCTCCAACCTAAAGGCCCACTACGATGACTAGGATCTTTTGATTGCCCTGCAACATGTGCAGCTCTTCTAGCTAAGAGCCCTGCTGCGCAGCTCTTCGAGCCAGTGCATTTCCGAACGCCCCACCTGAGGCAGAGCATTTCAAATCTCCGAGGCTGCTAAACAAGAATCCAGAAGATACATGATGTGTTTTGAAAATAGATAGTTACTGAATGTTACTGAAATAAATCCAAGCAGAAAAGAAAGGACTGTTCATATCATACAAGACCATACAAGTATCAATCACTTGAAAAGAACCGATCTCTCACAAAAGCTCAAAAGCATCAGATTAAGACGATGACAAGAAAGACGGCGGCGCACTGCCTAACAAGCTTTCTTGCACTGCGCTCAAAGCAATGTCTCATGCCACCAGCTTGTTAGTCAATCGTGAACAAATGGATCTCACCTGCAGCTTCCTGTAGTCGATAATCAACACCTGCACATCGTGCGAATCTCCCAAAAAATCTCTGAAAACAGTGAGTAGCTCTTGAGGTCTGAGCTTCAAACTAACTCACCTTTGGCCCCTAGCAATGGCTCGCAGCGATAGGCGAGCCTGCAGGCACATGGAACCTTCAAAGTTTAGACCAAACAGCCTTCACGTGTCGTGAGAGCCAGACTTTCATAAGTCTTCAACTTGTATAAGAGCGATGGCTTCCATCCTAGTAGCGATGGCCTCCAACCTAATAGCGATGACCTCCAACCTAATAGCGCTGGCCTCCAAAGAAATAGCAATGACCTCCATCCTAGTAGCGATGGCCTCCAACCTAATAGCGATGACCTCCAACCTAATAGCGCTGGCCTCCAACCGAATAGCAATGACCTCCAACCCAATAGCGATGGCCTCCAACCTAATAGTGATGGCCTCCAACCTAGTAGCGATGGCCTCCAACCCAATAGCGATGGCCTCCAAAGTAATAGCGATGGCCTCCGATAGCAATGGCCTCCAACCAATGGCCTCCAACCTAATAGCTATGGCCTTAATAGTTAGCAATGGCCTTCAACCTAATAGCAATTATGCCTCCAACCTGATAGCGATGGCCTCCAGCATAATAGCGACGGCCTCCAACCCAATAGCGATGGCCTCCAACCTAATAGCGACCTCCAACCTAATAGCAATGGCCTCCAACCTATTGGCAATGGCCTCCAACCTAATGGCATCCAACCTAATAGCAATGGCCTCCAACCTAATAGCAATGGCCTCCAACCTAATACACCGGTAGCGATGGCCTCCAACCCAATAGCGAGGCCTCCAACCTGATAGCGATGGCCTCCAACTGAGAAGCGATGGCCTCCAACCTAATAGCAATGACCTCCAACCTAATAGCGATGGCCTCCAACCTAATACACCGGTAGCGATGGCCTCCAACCCAATAGGAGGCCTCCAACCAAATAGCGATGGCCTCTCCAACCTAATAGCAAAGGCCTCCAACCTAATCGCAATGGCCTCCAACCTAATAGCGATGGCCTCCAACCTAATGGCGATGGCAATGACGATGGCCTCCAACCTAATAGCGATGGCCTCCAACCCAATAGTGATGGCCTCCAGCCCAATAGCGATGGCCTCCAACCTAATTAATAGCAACCGGATAGCAATGGCCTCTCCAACCTAATACCAATGGCCTCCAACCTAATAGCAATGGCCTCCAACCCAATAGCAATGGCCTCCAATTTAATAGCAATGGCCTCCAACTAAAAAAGCGATGGCCTCCAACCGAATAGCATTGGCTGCTATAACAATAGATCCTGCCGAGCCGCTGGGAATTGCCTGGACCGGTCGTTAACACTGCTGAGGGGCCAGCCTGAAATGACGATCTGAGCTTACCTATTGAAAGCTCAAGGAATTTATGCGCTGGGTGGTTGGCAGGCGAAATGATGTCATCCAACGGCACAGACACGTAGCCTAGCCGAGTATCGCTACCTTGGCAGATATGATGTTTAAAGGATCTTAAAGGTCTAAAGGTCAATAACTAATGAATCGCAAGTCAAGCGAAAGAGTGTTGCCATAAATTTAGAGCAGTGCCGAAAAGAGGTGCTCTGCTCATAACCTCAAGCTCGAGATTGCCTGAGGCTTGAAGCAAATGGGCAAGAGGCTCATACTACCAGCATCTACCAGCTACCGCAAGTGGCCTCTTGTGGACACGACTGGGAATTCCATGAGGCAGTTCCATGCAGGTCTGAGGTTGCTCCTGGCAAAGGAGCACTGATCCAGGTCGCAGGAATAATGTACGCTGCTTTCACGATACTGATGCCGACGTCACTTGAAGAATCTGTGCACATGTAATTTGTTCACTGCCCCTGACTAGCTACCACCACTACCCCGACTGAGCAGTCCCTGCAAGAGTGCATTTTTGTGAAGCTTGTGTCTTCGCTATTTCCCAAAATCAATTCTGAGCTGCCAAAGACGCTCCAGACAGTAGGGCTGCGTCGAACATGCTCGCCCAAGCGCCCGCGCCTAGGCAATCAGTTAGGCAGCTGCAACTAGTTTGATTTATGTTCGACTTTGTTAACTTCCAGGATGCTGAGGAGCGTGGCACGTAAGGGTTTGTTCCAATGCCGTGGACAGGTCTCAGGTCACGAGCTTCAACTACAAGTACCTTCGGCAGAAAGAGCTTCGCTCCTGACCAGCCTGTATATCTCTTTCAGTCTACTCCTGCCTGAAGCATTCCAGTTGCCTGGGGTGCAAGTCATAAAGCTTGGTCCCCTACACTGTTTGCTATTCATGTCCTTTCAATGTCGCGACCTGACGTCTTCATCATGCTTTTTGTAAAACATGGTAGGGCCAACACAATGTCTGGCGCTGCTGCAAGTTCCTCTGCTCGACCTCATCCATCATTGGGACAGTTCCTTGTCTGCTAAGTAGCACGGTTGTGGTTGCCTTGAACAAACGACACATGTTCGTTTCATTCGTCTTCATTCGCCTTGTTCGTCCCCTTTTCCTTTGTCGGTCTCTGAACATAGTCCGAGCGAAGCGCTGTCTCGAGAGAGCGCAGATGGAACCAACCTGCAGTCACAAGTGGAGTGCGGCAGCTGTTGGCATAACCAATCTAGACATTGATCAGCATCCAGAGCCAATGTAGGGCATGTACCATGGAGAAAGGGCTCGGCCTTACAATCCAGGTCAAGCATGCAACTACTGCTATCCTGGTTTGCATCAGACACATCATGCTGCCTCACCGTCCTTCTTCATGGTTTGTCTGCGTGGGAAGGTTGATGAGCTCTTCTGCTTCATTTAGGGCTGCAGCCAAGTGGTCCCTGAGGACCAACTGAACCACCTGCAAGCTCTCCCTCTTTCGAGGACACTGTTTGTGTGTTCGTGGGCGAGGGGTTGATTCTCTTCAACGGGCCATGAAAGTCTTATCTGCCTGAAGCAGACTCTTCCTCGTCATCCTCCCGACAACGATTCGAAGAGGCATCAAGCCTTGTCCAAATTGCATGGGAGTTCCACCAGCTCTGCAGTGCGCTGGTTGAATAGTAAAATGCACAAGGCCACGACTCCAGTTCAACGACCATGTCAGCCCAGAAGATCTGAAACAAAGGTACAAAAGTGCCCCCCCAACAGCTTTCAAAACGAGAGAAGCGCATGTCAATTGAGAGTGCCACACAGCTCCAAAGCATGCTAGGCAGAACAACGCGAGGCCAAAAATGCTTACTACATTCTTGCTTGGGCCCCGCGTCAAAACCTTTCCTTGCAACCAAGCTGCTTGTACAAGCGACGTTATGAGGTTTTGCAGCGCAGTGGGCATGGCTGGGTCCTCGTTTGGTAGTGCTCTCAAAGTCTCAAGCGCTGCAACGACACGCAACAAGATCAATCTGTGACTGTGTGGTGTGGTTGCCTTTGTACATTGTCGAAGGACGTGCTGCTGCATCTCATCCTCAGATGTACGTATCAAGGAGCACAACACCGGGCATTCGACAGCTGAGGAGACTGCCATCAAGCGCCTTCGTGCGCTTTTGGAGAGTAGCAGCGGCAGGAAGGGGACGTTCATGGCGTCGATTGCCCTTTGAGGCTATCTCAAGGACCAGTGATTGTGCAAAGCAAGAAAAGGTGGAGCTCGTTTGGTACGCTTTGGCCAGTTGGTAGCTCATTGAAAACTTCACAAGAATTGAAGCAGGCATCCTGGTTGGTAGGTTCCATGTTATGCTGCAGCAGTTGACTTTCATCATGGCAGGGTTAACATACCTGCTGCATCCTGCTGCTGTCTTGGCTTGACCCAAGTGCAAGGCAATGATCAGTGCTATTAGCATGGATTGCTGCGGCGGCTTCAGCTCATCTTGCTTACTACCCAATGATGTCTAGTGTCCTTGAGCAAATTCTTGGGAAAGCTGAAAGGAGACCTTCTTAGGGATGGACGAAAGAGAACGTCAGCCCATAGAGAAAACAATGCTCAGAAAAACAGGAAATGATTTCGATGTGGAAAACAAGCGCAGTTCTCCACTTCTCCTCTCATTGAAATATTATGAAAGATATATAAATACAGTACAGAACTGTCAAGCGCCCTCCTTCGAGACTGGCTCCATAGCATTCACAGTCTCCCAGGCACGTGGGGCTCCGTCCCAGTAGCGCAAGTCCTTCCAAACGCGATTCGATTCAATGATGGAGATAGAGATAGCGACAATATAGACGAAGTCATGCAGAATGATGAAGGAACGAACAAAGGAAACGACGATGGACCCGGCAGAAAGCTGTTTAGTTCACTGACCGGTGAGGCGGTCTCTGTTTCACCTCTAACGCACACATCGCACAGTTTCGCGACTGTCCGCTCATTCCTCATACTGGCCAGGCATGGCATCAACTGCTTTGGTTGGCACGGAATTGCCATATTGATCCTCAACTCGTTTCGTCAAAAAGACGTTCGATAGAAGATGTTGAACATTGGTCTGCAGTGTCTGCAGCTTGCAATATGCTGAGAGATTTGAGAATGGTGCAAGTCCTCCCGCAGCAATCAACCAATAGGTAGAAACTCCTAACTGCACCTTTGATTTGGACTATATTATATTCCAACATATCCCAACCAGTTTGATGCTGGGAGCGAACTAAGGATTGAACATACTGAACAGCTTCTGCTTGTGGCCTACTTTTGCCTCCTGCTGCTCGAACCAAGCGAGCTTGGCTGTGCGCACTCTCCTGCATCGACAGGAGATACACGAGTATTCAAGCGCTTGAGCATTCCTTTGAGATACAGTTGAAGTCAGAAAGATGCAGAGGAGCAAAGCATGTGACACGAATAGGTCGGTTCACCTCCCTCCCCAGCCGGGCCTCAGAGTCTTTTCCTGCACAAATAAGATTTGAATTGGACAGAGTGATGTCGCCGAATGCAGAATATCTTACGGACAGTCCTTTCTGTGAGACCCATCCAAAAACATCCAAGAAGAGTACGCTCTTAAAAGCGCGCGGCACCATGGCGCCATTCTCCTCACTTCATCTTCGCATCGGAAATCCAGCACAGCGGTTGGATGATCTCCTGCTCTTCCACTCGCACAAAGATCGTCATGATGCCCAGTGCAATGCCATTTGATATGTAGGCCTGCAGCTATGCTAGGCGCCAAACTGCGGGCCCCAAGCTTTGTCGATGCATGTGCCGTCTTGAAAGCGAGGCAGGGAAACGAGCGGTGCCAGCAATTCTGCCAAGTTGGTTTCTTCACGGTGGAAGGACCAAATGTACCTGAAGCTCGATCTAAAGCGGACTAGTTGGAGGCCATCGCTAGGTTGGAGGCCAATGTAATTTGGAAAATGATGTTTTCTTACGTGAGAAAAAAACCTACTCTTTCAAGTCAGGAGCAATGACGCGCACGCGGCAAAGAAGCTGAAAACGGGGCCGATGCCAACGAGAACTTGCAAGAATCGCTGCTGCCCAGTGGGCCTCAACAGAATCATGTTGCAAGCTCAACGACTGGCAGGTCAACATGTGCTGAGTTGGCTGGAAATGCTGGGAAAAGCACAAGGTGAGGTCCACTCTGGCAACGACCTGCGCCGATTGAGCCGCCGGATAGAGCCAGCAATTCAACAAGAAGCCAGAAATGACAGAACTGTCGAAAACAAAAGAGAACTTGCGAAGTTCAAGTAGCCTTTTTCAAGTAAGTTTGAGCAGACTCACATGACAATGGACGTCTACAGCAAATCGGTCGTTCATCAGCCACGTGACTGATTCCTGTGGCATGCACTTCTTGTGGATATTAGTGCAAGCACAAAAGCAACCTCTTGATGGGTGCGGCTTTTTCAAAATCTGGTCATTGAAGGTCAGTCACCACAGGATGGTAAACCCAGCCACGTGCACCAAACGCTGTACAGTATCACGCATAGAGGTTTAAACGAATGCAGGAAGCAAGCAAACGGACTCACCTGTTGAACCAACAAATGTTTCAAGAGAAGTTCGGTTGTTCAGCGATGCCGCTGCTTGCGGCCCTTCGTCGGCTGCAAGCCGACAGGAACTATATACACGCCTTAGTCGGCGGCAATCCTGAAGGGCAAAGTTACAAAAGCTCAAATCTTGACAGACGGAGTTACAAAGGGTCCCATTTGGAACCCTCCGAACTGTTCCAACCCAAACTCCCTTCTTCTCAGCTATGAAGCTGCCTTGGCTGAAAAGTGACGTTCAGTGCTGAATATGGAGCTCGATGGAAACCCCCATTAGTTTCTGCCACAACCCTTGTTTGACTACCATGTCATCCTCTCAAGCATTTCTGAAAGCAAATTTATCAATCAAAATGTGCATAGTAATTGTCCTAGGAGACATCAGGTAAAGCGGTAAAACCCAAGCATTCACCAGCCATGTTGAAAAGGAACATGAATGCAACAGGCAGACCTGAGCATGATTTGTGAGCTACGAGTAGCTTCAATCTCATGTTGTAGCCTGGAGCTGCCCCACGAGTTGAACGTCACAGAGCCAGAACAGGAGCTATGAGAGGCAAGCTCAAATGGCCCCATACAATGTGTAGTATATGGAAGAACCGCAGAACCCTCTGACTCTCAATCCTGACAAGTGATGGCCTCAATCCTGACAAGTGATGACACTTGTAGTCTTGGTAATCTCTGAGTTCTCTTTGGTTGTGTTTTGAAATGGTCTGTCTGTAGGCATCCCGTTGCAATTAAGCAGCTCTTTGAAGGCGTCACTCTTCAGGAGCATCAACTGGCAGGTGAAGCTCAGTTCTGGTGTTGGTTCAGGTTCAAAGTGGAGCTCCAAACAATATACAATCTCTGTCAATGTCCCCTCCTCGTTATCCAGTTCCTTCATTCAAAAAGGCTTTGCGATGGTTTTGGATGTGGAGCTTTTAACATTGTTTTCCAATTTTGGTCGATAGCTTATATACATGGGCGTTGATCTAAATTCCTTCATCTGGGATCCGTCATTCTTAGCCAAAAAAAATACTTTAGCCAAACGTTCGCCTTCCTGCGTTTTTTCTTTCACCGAAGCATGTTGTAGGTATGTTTGCCATGTATGTTGTATGAGCTTCTTCTTTACTGGCAGATACGAACCAAAAACTTCACTGTTTGTCAGCATGTGTCTTCTACTTATATAACTGTTGACACCCTGTACGTCTCTTTTGTTTCTCCTGGGTGTCTGCAACAATCAAAAAATGCAAGAACCACTGTAGTAGCCGGTCGCTCAGACTTACTCATCATGGGTTGGGGGTCAGATGTGGCAGGGTGAACTTTCGCCAATTTTGAGCTGAAGTGTCGCCAAACTTTCGGGTAGAGTTTTGTGGCAGAACCAACCCCCCAAAGCAGGAGGAGGAGTTGTAGTAGTAGTAGTAGTCGTAGTAGTCTTAGTAGTCGTAGTAGTAGTGGTAGTAGTAGTAGCAGTAGCAGTAGCAGTATGTAGCACCAGCAGCAGTAGCAGTAGCAGTAGCAGTATGTAGCACCAGCAGCAGCAGCAGCAGGAGTAGGAGTAGGAGGAGGAGTAGGAGTAGGAGTAGAAGTAACAATTGGTTGGTGACAATTGGTTGGTAGCAATTGGTTGGTGAAAATTGGTTGGTGACAAGTCGTTGGTAGCAATTGGTTGGTAGCAATTGGTGGGTGGCAATTGGTTGGTGACAATTGGTGGGTGGCAATTGGTTGATGACAACTGGTTGATAACAATTGGTTGGTGACAATTGGTGGGTGGCACTTGGTTGATGACAATTGGTTGATGACAATTGGTTGGTGACAGTTGGTGGGTGGCACTTGGTTGATGACAATTGGTTGGTGACAAATATATAGTTGGTAGCAATTGGTTGGTAGTAACTCGTGGGTGGCAATTGGTTGATGGCAACTGGTTGGTGACAATTGGTTGGTCGCAATTGGTTGGTGACAATTGGTTGGTGACAATTATAATTAGTTGGTGGCAATTGGTTGATGACAGTTGGTTGGTGACAATTGGTTGGTGACAATTAGTTGGTGGCAATTGGTTGGTAGCAGTTTGTTGGTGGCAATTGGTTGGTGACAATTGGTTGGTGACAGTTAGTTGGTGGCAATTGGTTGGTGACAGTTAGTTGGTGGCAATTGGTTGGTAGCAAGTGGTTGGTGACAATTGGTTGATGACAATCGGTTGATGGCAATCGGTTGATGACAATTGGTTGGTGACAATTGGTTGGTAGCAATTGGTGGGTGGCAATTGGTGGGTGGCAATTGGTTGGTGGCAATCGGTTGGTGGCAAACGGTTGGTGGCAAGCGGGAGGCGGGAGGAGGAAGGAGGAGGAGCGGATACCACACTAAAAACAAAAACCCCACACGTCAATGTGGGGGAAAAACTTTCGCCAAATGAGGTTTAAACCTGTTCCAGGGTCATCGTCAACAACGCTACCCATTAGGACCTTTAGATAGACAACCACATGGACCTGTGTCAAGGTGTAAAACACTGCCAAATAGTTACTACATTACAAATAAGACAACCAAACATTGTCGCATTTCTCGTTATACTTGTCCTTCCTGTCTCATGCAAAACACCCTTTTAAGAAAAGATATCATTGATTATGAGAGATTCATTGAACAAAAGCTTCATTTATCGACTAAAAAAACATCGCTGTTCCGAGTCCAAGTAGGAGCACTGAAAGTCGACTTTTCAAGGCAGGTGGAGATCGGAGCAGTTTTACTTCGATGTGCAGATTTCATTCATCAGCACTTTGGACATGATGGTGGTCTCTGGCGCGCTGTGATATACTACCACTCTACCACTACCACAAGGACAACAAAATCATCCTTCTCACTCATCATTGTGATCTTCTGAACACTGCTGGGCTCTCCGGAAGGGTGGGGGGGTTGAAGATTCTCACCTCGATCTCCTCAGATTGAGTGTCTTATTGATTTTGCCCTGTGCCACGTGGCAAAATGATCCAGTTGCAAAGCCTCGAACTCCTTCACGTCAATCATCCCATCTTTGTCCACATCGAATTGCTTAACCAGCTTTTCGGCCTGGAAGCTTGAAACTCCGCAGAGCAAATTTGCAACAACGAAAGGATTCTGCGAGCGCCAAGAGGGTATAGAATATGTTTGCATGTTTAAAAATATGTGCAAAAGATTGTAAAAGGTATGGAGGCCTTGTCTTTGGTGATTTGCAGGCCACCCATGATTTCATTTACATCGAGCTTGCCGTTCCTCGGTGAAGCTGGTGGGCAACATTTAAGATTGAAAGAACGGACAAAGAATCGAAAGCCTTGCGACCTTCTGTCCTATCACTTCTGGACTCTGCTGCAGCGAAAAATCATGCATCATGTATCATATCATATATACATATAGTTATATAATATGTATTTGTACATAACAACAAGAAAATGCTTCTAAGCCGAAGTCTGGTCCTTGTCCAGGCCGTGGAAGAAGTTCTGCAAGGTTCGAATTCGCTAGAACGTAGTGAGGATTATACGAAACCGCCAGTGGTTGACTTACAAGGGGTATTCGCCTTCGCCTCATCGAAGAACGAGTCGGCCTCAGGCTCCTTGGCCGCCTGAGGTAACGTTGGACATAATACTTTTTTAACGATGTTGTATAAGAGATTGGTTCGAAGGACTGCCACTCCATGTACCAATCCTCCTTGGACCATTTCTTGAAGAAGTCGTTGCCTTTGTTGTCCACAACCTGATGCTCTTGAACTTGATTTCAGGGCTCGTGCCAGTGCCATGTGCTAGAATGCAAACTGCCACTTCCAAGGCAACTGCAACAAATGCAGGAAAGTCTTCAACTTCAATTTTCCAGACTGCCTGTCGAGCGGGATTTACAGTGCAAAAATATATTTTGCCAGCACGAACCATGAAAGGAAGCGCTGAAACGACCTCCATGCCCAACTCCTCCATGTCCAGCACTTCCACCTCAGATCTGGCATCAAGCTCGCTTGAGCTGACTGCCTCCGTGTCGGGCCTTCTTGATGCTTTTAGCACTCAAAGTGGCAGCAACTCCACCTGAACTCTGCGTAGATGTGGTTTCGTCCTTTAGAACCGACTCTGCTGAGTGCTTGACCAATTGAACCCAAGTAGAAGCCTTGTAACGTGCAAAACTGTTTCGGTATATTTCCGTCGAGTCTCATGTCTTTTGCCTGCACCCCAAAGACATTGGAAGGAGGAAGCAGATCGGCCTCCATGCTTCTGGCACGCTTTCGTCACATCCTTTGACCGATTGCCCTTCCTGCGAAAACCCAAGACTCAGAATTTCTCGGATGACAACTTAGAGCAAGAGCAGCGGCTACGCAAAAAGTCGAGTGAAACTCTGCAGTGCTCCCGATCATGATCATCGAACCTCGCCTCAGCTCTGACTTTCAAGAAATTGAAGGAGAACCCCCCCAATATCCCCCAATACTCGACTTGCATTGCATGTCACAGTTCTTCCTCAATCCAAGCGGACTTCCCAGCTTCGACAAGGTACTGAGCTTGGAATGTGTCGACATACCTCAAGACGTTTCTCTCGCAACAAGTGCATCTTCAAAAGCGAATCCGAGCACTCCAAGCCAAGTTGCTGGTCCATGCGACCAGAGGTTGTCGGTCCAAAAGATCCAGAGGGCAT